TCGATTACAATACACGTAATTGATTCATAATAAACTAAAGAATAAAATAGTAAAAAATAATAATAGGCCACATAACAAGCGTGAATAAATAAATAAACAAATTCAATTAAACAATAATTAGAAAGATGATAAATGGAATGTCAAATGTTTCAATAGAACACACAAAAATAAATTTAAATATATTATATTGAAGGAGTACAAACTAAAAATAAAAAAGGCGAGTCTGTTATTGCTTTTTGTTCATGTTTGTTGTTGCTGTTGAATTTCAATTTTTTCTACAGTCATATCAGGATTCATTTCTGTAGCTTCTTGAATGGCGTCAGCCAATGCTTTATCATGATCAATTGGATCACCATCACTCTGTATGGTWATTTTTTGTTCAACTCTTGTCTCGACAACACCATCTTTTTCAGTTTTGTACTTAAAAATGATAGTAAAAATTTWAAATTTTAAAAATAACTAAAATATGTTCCAATTATATTTTGCTTACTGTTACAGTTTCAACAGTTCGTGTTTTGCTTGAAATAGCCTGTGTTGAGACAATTTCTCCTGAGAGAGTGTACGACTTGTCATTAGCCGTGATGTTTATGTTATGTCTTTCTTCAGCAGAGTTTGAACCAGCCGTCACATGTTCGGCCTTAAACTCATTCTAAAAAAAAAATAAATTAATAATTGACTAACACAATAATTATTATTAAACATAAGTGGGTACTTCAATATTATTTATATTAACATCTCGTTTTAAGCAAACAGTTCAATACCTGAAAATTGCTATTATAATATCCTAGCCCATTGGACTCATCTAATGGGCCTTCAACATCAATTGGTGTGCCTGAATCGTTTGAGCTAAGACTAGAACTACTTGAAGCTCTACTTAGCTGGACATGCAATAACGTACAAAAAATATAAAAATTAAAACATGCTAACAAAATCTTTTATAAAAAATAATATACATTAATTTTTATGCTTCAAAAAATTAGTAATATTTGTGCTATATAATGTATTAAATAACTTGTTGTAAAAACATTTAAATATTGATAAAAACCAAAAACTCAACATAATTAATCTGAAATTTAAATTACAAAATTACTTGCATAAAAATACAAATTAAGATTCAAATATATACAAATAGAAGCGAAACAATTTTACCTCAACTTTTGATTCTGGTGCAAGAATTGTTGATGTAGATATGACTTCTTGTGTAACAGTTCGTTGTTCTTGACGAGTACCACTGGTTGTTGTTGTATGAGCCACCGTTTTTTCTTCGACCTAACTCAATAAGTTAATTGATTAATATCATAACACTTAACACTAACAGAAGAATATCTTCTCAACACAACAAATAAACATGTGCTAATAATAAAATCTACTTCACAAATACCTGACTAGTTTTAGAATTTTTTTCCAAATCCTGATGAGTAGTTGCTGTACGAGTAGTAACTGCTGTTGCCTTTACGTATGGAGGCCTACCAGTAGCTGTGTCCAAACCTTCAGCCTAAGCATAAGCAAAACAAAAAAACCATGCAAAAGTAAAAAAAAAAAATGTATAAGCCAAGTTTATTCAACTACTATTACCTTATTGTGCTGTGTTGATACAGTTACTTCACCAGATGTTAAGTCTTCAACTTTTTCTTCAATATTTTGAGTAACACCTTCTTTATCCTGGATCATTGTCTGTTTTGTTGTAGTTTTTACAATTAATGGTGCAGTACTAACTAGTGGTTTATCGTCTTCATAATTTTTTTTTTCATTATCAATGAAGTCTGATGATTCTTTTTTAAGGTCAATTTCGGTCTTATCTTTAGATCCTCTACCAAACGAACCTAATTTGTCCATAGCTTTTTCTAATACCCCTTTACTACTGTCATGTTCTTTTGATTTCTTATTCAAAACTCCTGATTTTGAATCAATTTTTTTCTTCTCAGTTTCCATAGTAGTTTCWGCACTGGCTGGGACAACTTTTTTTTCCAATATGGTTTTAGTAAATGCAACTTCACCAGTGGGTTTTACTTTTGTGTCAATATTAGTTTTAGGTTCTTTTTTAACTGATTCTTCTTTGTGAACTGCCGACTGTACATAATTAATTCCTGGTGTTTTAATACCATCGGCAGCCACTTTTTCCATGAACGTTTTTCTCTTTTCTGCTGCGGTTTCTGCAACTTTCTTTGCCTCTCCAGGTGCATAATTAAACGCAAGGCCTTGTGCTCTTTTACTAGGAGATGTTGGGATTTCAGAAATATTTTCTTTTGACTTTTCCATGTTATTTTCATAAGTGAATCCACCGACTGGCTTACGTTTTTTTGTAGCACTGTGTTCATCTTCCGTGTAATTGTATGTTTTAGTAAAACTTGGTGAAGTGGAAATAGCAGATACATTAACAGTAGTTTCAGCAATCGAACGATCAGCAAATGTAGCATTTGACGATAAATTGGAAGTAGTGCTGTCAACTGTTTTGAGACTTGTTTTTGATTCTTTTTTTGGTTTTTTTAGATCTTTTTT